CTCCCCAGACGAGATAACGCGACCTCTCATATGTTACCTTGCATAGTGTTGCATTGATGTGCCTGACACCCCCCACATTACCCCCCCCCCCCCACTCCCAAACGAGAGGGCTCCATCTCTCATGCGTCACCCCCGCACAGCGTTGCATTAAATCGCCTACCCTGAGAGCTCAGTGCAGGTAAACTGCAGCAGCTAAAAATTGCGGATTTGCTTTTTTTACCCTCGGTTCCCAACGCTTTAAAATATGGCCAAAGATAGTTTAATGTTGACAGTGTGGCGGTGACAACTGTTGATGATGATGATTTTGGTGATACTAAAGACTAGGTAGATGGTGTTTGGGTGATGATGATGATGATCGCGATCATGTTGAAGATTGTGATAGGCAGTGGCGATGGCAGTGATGATGATATATTAATCACCTGATGATAATGATGGTTATGAAGATGGAGATCATGACTGTTTTATTGTTTGGGGCGCAGGAAAATATCACAGCATCTCAAGACCTTTTCAAGAATTAGAAGAAGGTCGTTCACTGGACAGTTCCCACTTGCAGAACATTCACACGTGACAGGAATGAGTAGTGCCTGGAGAGACAACCCACGCAGGCCGGGAGAGAACATGCTGTACCAACCTCACACGCAGTCAACCTTGTTCACCCAGCTGGTAAATGTCACGCGCACTCACTGCAGCGCTGAGCTGCATCTCTTGCGACTGGTTGTGTTTCTCTATTTTACAAAAATTGAATTCCGATTGTACGGGCCACGTCGTGCCATGGGGGAAGGAGTGTCCGTTCAGAGCACTCACAGAGCAGCGCTAACAGCGTGTTTTTCGAGAACGGCCTGTGAAAGGAGATATCACAGAACTTACTTCTGAGATCCATTTACATTCCCACATGCCCTCAAGTAGAGGTGCGTCACATTGCAGTAAAACATTTTTTTTTATCTCCGAGCTGGACATTTTTTTTGCCAAGTTAAGAAAATACCAATTTGTTATAGCATGGAATTATCTGGTGCAGTCATTGGTGACCGGCCCGAGACCATCGACTCCCTACGCTTAACAACAACATTTGAAAATTGGGCGCCTCAAACCCCACGTTTGACCCCAGGAATTTGAGCCTGGGCCACTCAGCGCTCTGACCTGTGACCTTCCCGAACACCTCCACGGGCGGTAATTCTTCCCTCAGTGCTGGTGCCAGTCCATGGGGGGGGGGGGGGGGGGGGGGCTTAAGCATACATTATTTGGGCCACCTCCCTTTCTGTCTACAAAGTCCTCATGAGATGACTGCTGAGATCTAGGCTAGAGATATTGATGAACTGAGATCACAGAGAGAGAGATGTGGACAAACTTTACATGAACAGAACGCATAAATAAGAGCGATCAATTTATTTTCCGCGTCAATTTTTGCATTTTGTTACCATACCTGTCAACCCCTCATCAGTGCCTACATTATTACAGACCAATTCAGATCTTATTGGTCATCCTGTGTCCCTTATAAATCTCAACGTTCAACCTACAAAAACCATCGCAAGGGAGAAACACAAACAAATAGACCAAATAAATTGCCGTTTCGAAACGGCTGTACGCCGTATGGATCTGGAAACTCTATTTCCCTGTACAATAATACGGGGTAAACCGTATGGGTTGACAGTTATGTGTTACGTTTATCTGGATTCGTATCCCAGCTGATATTTAATACTCCCCCACCCCACCTATTATTTTTGCGTGTGAATCCGTGAGCCCCTTTGAGCTACTTGCGGCGGCGAAGCTGTCGGGGGCTGTCGTTTTTTATTATTTCGCCTGGCGCCGCTGCCGTCGACCATTCACGATGCAAAGGGCGAGGACTGCCGGGGCCTTTTCAGCGACGTGTCGAGAAACGCAATTAAGAAAAGCACAGCACCATCTGTTGACCGCAGCGGGGAATCCCATTGCTGAACGCAACACCCCCCAGACGCTCCGAAATCCCTCGTGATATTCAGCACAAGGTTTCATCGTTTTTAAAATGTAATCATTACCGTTGCAGTTGACTGATAATCACCAAATGGGGAGGCAGTGGTCAGTCGGGAGGGCGAATGGCAGTCGCTGATTAGCCAGTTAAGAGTAAGAGAGAATACCCATGTGCCAGTCGGCTTGCTTATTAGTGGGCATGTTTGAGCATACTTCACCATGCTGGTCAGTAGAGGTTAGTGGAGCAGAGTCCGAGGACTGGTTCAGATATTACTCGCCACCGATTTGCAAGATGTCAGGCTCACGTCGATTGCTGTGGCCCTACTTCGGGTCGTTTAAACATCCCTATATCTGTGGGCTGGAGCAGCATAATATGTAGAGAGCCACAGAGCTTGGGAAATTATTGGCGCTGGCCCACCACATGGCTGCCTGCCTTCCTACTCGTTTGTGGTTCCTAATTGCGCCTTTGAACCCAACTACCCGAGTTAAATTCATGGGCAGTGGTAAGCAATATGAACCAGACCAGGCCCCCCTCCCGCTCCCAAACAACTCCTCACCGACCCACACTGACTAACGTGGTGAAGTATGGTCAAACTACCCCCATGACTGATACGATGTGGTGAGGCCTTCACCCAGCAGTGGACAGAGCTGTACAATTTTTTTTATTCACGATTATACTACTTGGCAACTGGATTATTCGTTGTATAGACTAAGTGACTTCGTAATAAAATAAACGATAACAAACACACACGTGTATATTTAACGACATACTCACGAGATCTAACCCAAACCTCTAATGCATAATACTGATCGTGAGAGCCTGTGCGTTAACGAACATGCAATTAACGCACGATGAATATTCGACATCCAGAGAAAGTCATAAAAACACCTCTATTTAACTATAGATGTAATTGACATACGGGGCAAGCACGCAATTATTAACACGTTTTGAATCTCAGTGGTAAAGAAATGCTGACATGCTCCAAGCCCTCTTTGTAAAGGAGGGAATTTATAGCAAAATTTGCAATTAAAAATTCTTCCTGGTGTGCCACTTTTCTCGGCACGCTGATTTAAAATAAACACACCCACTGATGCTGTGAACATTTGTTGAACAAAGACGGGAAATCAAATGAGAGGCGAAAACTGTAAATGGAGACAAAAGGACAACGTGATGACAGAGTTACATTCACTAGCGCCCTACATCTGCAAACATCACATCAAAGCGAAATGTGGATGCAAGGTTTTAATTTGATGTTTCGCAAAAAAAGGTGAGACACTCCAATTGAAATATATGACGCCAAAAAATAAATATGCTTTTGCCGAATAGGAGTTGATAATTGTTCATTAACCAAGAATACTGTGATAGATTATACGTAAGCCCTTTATGTAAGAGACAAAAACATATGTATATATATTAGATATGCCCGTGCTAAAAAAAATATTCCAGAAACAGAGGCACACAGATTACATTATCATTTTTTGGAAAACCCTTCTGCATAAAATGGAAGATAATTACCAAGCGTTATTATAGTTAATTAGGCTAAAGGTTGAGAAAATATATATTTTCATTAGATTTGCCGCAAATTATAAATGTGTCACCCTCCTCCAGCGGTGTAAGATGACACCTCTTATTCGTGCAGGAAAAACCGGGACACATAAAACCCAGTGGGGCACCCACAGGCACTTGAGTCCTACCCACAGTGACCTAATTGCCTGACCACCAAACAGCATCAACTTGTAGACCCCGTGGGGAGGGGTTAAAACAAAAAGTACCAGGTAGGGGTTGAATGAATTCAACCTCTGTTATACCGAACAAGCGAAAACCGAAGAGCAAGTGAAGTCTTCTTCTTGGTTCTTTCGGTAAAGTCACGTAGAAGGGAAATAATAAAATAATAAAAATAAAACATAATAAAATAATTCTCACGACGTTTCGGCCACAACGCAAGCAGCCGTCCTCGGGTGAAGAACAGGTCTGTCGAGAAGACAGAGCCTGGGGTGTGTCATTCAGACTCTGTCTTCTCGACAGACCTGTTCTTCACCTGAGGACGGCTGCTTGCGTTGTGGCCGAAACGTCGTGAGAATTATTTTATTATGTTTAATTTGTATTATTTCCCTTCTACGCGACTTTACCGAAAAAACCAAGAAGATGAATCCCTGCAGTCACGAAAGCTTTAAAGCAAGTGCAGTGTCGATACTTTTTTGACTGACGAAGATGAGACGCTGAATATAAGCCTCACCCCTTGCGGGCGCAAGCCCAGCCTGTGATTATATCCCAAGCAGTGTTCTTGTATCAGAATTTGGCACTTTGCCTTTCCCCCCTCCCCCCTCCGCCCAGTGCAATTAAAGCACCGTGTTGCGTTTGTCAGGGCTGTGCGCGCACAAACGTGCGATTACACTCGGTGGAACAAAACTCGACCAGTTCTCTCGTGCGAGCAGGACGCAGCGTCGTGCATCGTACGCGTGCGCGTCAACTCAACAGGGCGAAGCGCGCGCCGTATTATCGGCGCGTGGTTTTACTGGAAAAATATATAACAACGGGCGTTGCACGTCGAGTGTGTAACACGCCGTGGGGTAGTTAAGCACAGAGCGTCGCGCGGTGCGGAGACACGTCACCAAGCGATCGGGAGAATTAAGCAAGTACATTATGAACGGGCAACTCCGATCGCCTTGGTTATCGCGAGTGTGAGACGCGGGGGTTTCGGACACGCCGCCTTCCACGTGTTAAACTCAACTGCACCTCCCATCAGCCCCGGTTGGCTGCGTACGGTGTGAAAGAAGTTCGACGCACGTACGCACAGCCTGCTCGACGACCTATCCCCTTGGCTACAGCTCCTCCACGCAAGTTTTAAACCAAGCCATCTCACGTCCCATCCCGTCGACACAGAAGCTGATCATTATCTTCCATTATCTTCCTACTCAACATCTCTAACCATTGCATCAACCCACCCCGTCCCCCTCCCCCTTCATTTCCCCGCCACCCCCCACCATGGCGTCACTCAGCCCCCCACATCCCGTAGGCCCCCCACACAGCCCCGACTGGAAGGCCGCGTGCGTACCTTCCTGCAGGGCCTGGAAGGGGTTGTCTCCCTCCACGGTGCGGATCGAGTAGGTGATCTGCTCGCTCTGCAGGATCTCCTCGTTGGCGTTGATGTCGGCCACGGCCAGGCTGAACGCCTCCTGGTCCTTGAGCGCCGACTCCTCGAAGATGGCCCCTGGGTCGACGGCGCCGGGAAGGGAGCAAGGGGGGAGGAGGGGGAATGGGGAGGAGGGGAGGGAGAGAGAACACAGGTTGAGCGAGTGAAGAACTCGGTTTTGTCTTTTTGACATTTTGATGCCGATTGTGCGACCGGGCGTCACGAGGGTGAAGTTTGCGTTCGGAAAACCCTCACGGTCCGGTGCGTCATCCCATCCTGCGAGTGCACAACCTGTGCAAGAAAATATGACAGAACTACTAGCGAGATTCCTCCGAGTGACCTCGCACACGCGAAGAGTCGTTTGTTTCACCGCAATCCAAAATGTAGGTTTTGTTTCCCCAGAGCTATATAATTTAATGCGATGGGTTGTTTTTTTTCTGAGCAGTCGTTGCTGGCTGGACTGAGACCGCCATCAACTCACTCGACTTAAAAAAATAAAAAATCCACTTCATTCACAGCGGGGCCACCGAGATTTAAGATCCCAGCGGCGGCGCTGGCTCAGAGCGAGCTCTGACCCCGTGATCCACTTAAAACCCTCATTGGTCATTCCACGAGGTTTATTTTTGTTGAAGAGCAAGGCACGAGTGTAGACGGGCGATTATATGACAGAGATCTCGGAGGTAGCTTTGTGACGTCTCCTTCCACGAGCCATCCTCTTCGAACACGAGACGATGGACTGCCCTGCAGCACATTCTCGCGAGTGGACACTTCGTCTCAGAACCTGACATCGACAGTGCACTTGGAATCAAATTGCGTGTGGGACGTGGGAGGGGGGGTGCAAGAAAACAAAATACAAGAAACGAAAGACTCGGCCGAAAATAAATGCCGAACCAATTTCAGGAAAATGCAGCCGGGCGGATGTTTTGCAGATTACACTGCTCCCCTGCGTGTGATCCTGCCTGTCATAGGTGGTCAATGACAGTAATTGTCCCAGTAGTCTATGAGGTTAGACCGCGGATCTCCGTGTTTGTCTTGCCTATATTATACGCGCGAGCCTGCGTGTATTCATTTCCAGCCTGCGTTGGAGTGTAGGATGATGGCAGTCCTTGCCGCACGCTGGTGGGTGGACGCGTATGTATAAATATCTAGAGAGGGTGACATCCTCCTTGATAACAATGTCATGATTACTGTTATCAGCTCCAACTGGCAGAATTACCCTTCCGTGCTTGTACCCAATACCGCAACACACCCTGTCACCCCAACAGCTTCACTGTGATCAACAATGCCATTAATCCTCCTTTCAGCCATTTCAGGCTGTTTGGGGCAAGTGCTGTTAGCGAGTGCCTAGGAAAGCCTGGCCACCTTTGTCTCCCCGGTGCTTATGTCTACGAACTGCACGCTAAGTACTCATTGAAGGATGAGTTGACCTCAGGGAGGCCCGCTACCGGCCCAGATATCCGTCACCAATGTTGACCATGAACCACCCTTTTGCACCCAACAATGCCGAATGCGAACATAGCTGCTGTCCCCATAGCACCCACACAAACCGAGCTTGCGTCGTGATATGCCCGGTAAAAATATAAAAAATTCAACACCCAATGAATGACAGAATTCGTAAAATACATTTAAAATTTCGATTTAAAGCTTTCGTGACTGCAGGGATTCATCTTCTTGTTTTTACGGTAAAGTCACGTAGAAGGGAAGTAATAATATAACAAAAATAAAACATAATAAATAATTCTTACGACGTTTCGGCTACAACGCAAGCAGCCGTCTGCTTGCGTTGTAGCCGAAATGTCGTGAGAATTATTTTATTATTTTTATTATTTTATTACTTCCCTTCTACGTGACTTTACCGAAAAAACCAAGAAGATACATTAAAGATGTGTTGCCACGGTTTGACGACACACGTCTTAGCAGAATCCCACACATCCTAACAGCATCGCACCGTCTAGTTCGCTGGCATTTGCAGGCGATCGTCATGGAAATGACGTGCTTCTTCAATATCAGATCTGTTTAACACGTAGGCTTTTACGACCAATATTATCCAATATAAAGGTGTTTTCTAATTGGGTTCGACAGTGTAAATATAAGATGTGGCGTTAATAAAAGCCGCCAGAAACGCATCGGTTGTAAAGTTCTGCACACAGAAGCCCCTCCCAGTGGAAGTTGCCATCACCCAATATCATTTGGCACGGCGCAGCTTCAGGATTTGCAGCGATGTAGCCGAGAAGAAAGGAAAAACAGCTTTGCGGCACTTTTTTCATAAAAATAATAATAATAATAAACTGCTCGCCCGTTCATCAATGAATTTCTTACACGTGGCGCTTTGCTTTGTTTACTCAAGTCGCTTAGATTGTCAATGCAATTGTTGGGAATGCAAGTTGTGCACACATGCCTCTCGAGGTGTTAAGAGGTGTTAAGACCAAATCTTTATGTGCGGGCGGGGGGGGCGGATGGGGGCTGGTGGTTTCATTGACGTTTACAAAAGCGATGGGCTTGTCATTACAGCAGTTGTCGTGGCTTTTGTGCGCTCAGGAGCGGGACCGCTCAATGAACGTGATCTATTTAGAATTGGCTAGGAAGGTGTGTGTGTGTGTGACTTGCATGCGCGCACCTGTGGTTGTAACTATGAGGAGGAAAATCACCGGTCGGTCTTATTCCATTCATTAATTGTCTCTCTCGCTCACTCTTCATATAAAAACGTGCTTCAGGGGGTGAGAATTTTTTTTGGGACAAGATTGCAAGGTTGTTTTTCATTCTGACCACCATTTCCCCATCTTCTGGAATAAATGTTCGTGCCGTTGCGATAGTCTTTGTGCTATCAAGCGTGGGAGCGAATACCAAAAATTCAAGCGGTGCAGGTAATTTGCCTCCTGCGTAAATGCTGCAGACAACACTTAAATTTGATTTCAAATTAAGCTCAACATTGTTCGGGTGACACTGGGGATTTTTCAGCTCACTCGTGCAACTTATTTTCATTACTGCCCCACCCCCCACTCCGCCCCGTATTAGTTCAAGGTGCGTCCATTAAGTTTCATGTCGTCAAAGTGCTTTCACACGAGAAACTTTAGATATTTGATTTTTTTGGAGGAGGGCCTCGAAATCATTTTTTATGGCAGAGCCATTTATTTAACCGTGAGCCGCGTGACATCCCGGAGCCGGGAAACGAGCAGCAGCAGCAGCAGCCTTAAAATAAATCTTGTTTCTTTGTTCTCTTTCCAAGTCAATTGGCAAATGAAACAAATGTTGGCTCCAGCTGGGTTAACGTGCATGGCCTGCCTGTCTGGCCTGCCTGGCCTGCCTGGCCTGCCTGGCCTGCCTGTCTGGCCTGCCTGTCTGGCCTGCCTGGCCTGCCTGTCTGGCCTGCCTGTCTGGCTTGCCTGTCTGGCCTGCCTGTCTGACTTCCCTGGCCTGCCTGTCTGGCCTGCCTGGCCTGCCTGTCTGTCTGGCTTCCCTGGCCTGCCTGTCTGGCCTGCCTGTCTGCCTTCGTGCGGCGGGAATGAAGTTGAAGCCACACGCAATCGACGGGGGATCACGGGAATCCGAAACCAGATGGGAGCTACAAAATACGAGGGGGGGGGGGGGCGGTCGTGAGTGGGGGGGCATTACATTATGCTTCATGTTTTTAATGAGCGTTTTGGCCCAATGCTCATAATTAATCCGCGGGCCATCATTAACACGAACACACACTGGCCTAATAGTTATCGTAATAAGGTTGCTTATTATGTTTCCGTTTCGTGTTAATGGCGCGAGTGTTGTGACATTTCGCGCGTAATCAAGCGTGCATAATAAGCGTTTTCATCTCGATACACACCTGCACGCCAGTGGGCAGGCTATTGTTATGCACGGCTTTGCTTACAAAGCCGTGCGGTTTGTTTCATACTATCTCCTCCCTCCTTTCTTCTTCTCGGCCACAAGCCCCGCGATTGAACCGCGGGGGGGGGGGGGGGGGATCGGTGCGCTCGCATTTTATATCCGAGCGAGACGCATTTCGGCACGGAAGAGGGGAGGGGGCCTTCATCCACCAGTGGATAGATAATGCGCTGAAGGCTCCTTCCAAGCACCAATGTGAAACTGATGACACCGGAGGCGCAAGATATGAATGTTCTTATCAGCGGTAACACACGTGGCATGAAGGGCGAGGTGGTGATATTGCACACACACACGCGCACACAGCCCGGAAAAAAAGAAAAAACACAACAAAGATGCCTTGCTTCGTCTTACAAACTGTTGGGGCAAGTGTTTGTTCGGGAACGCCTGTTACGGTCAGTCCATACGGTGCAAGATGAGGTGGTTGCAGTGCCGGATTATCCTCGGAGCAAAAGTAGCTACATATGCTAGGGGCCACGCACTTTCAAGCGCCCCGCGCTAAACGCTTTCAAGCTATAAATTCCGGTTCAATGATTCTGCACTTGCTCTATTACTATAGTACTATACTGGCTTCAACTTTTACGAACGACTGGGTGTTTAAGGTTAGCGATTTGTTGTATTTTCAGGCTGTATAGCAAATGAAAACATACAATTACTTTACTATGCAAGTACAAATGTAGTGTTTTAATATGCTTTTTTTTTATTTAGGACCCCTTTATAACACATGCCGCAGGCCCCGCACCAACTTCACTGGTGCTACCTCGTGACGTTGTTTATCAAGGACCCCACCACCGTCTCGTGTTCACGACGCAGTGCATTGCGACTCGTGAATTATTGAGTTGTTTTCTTTTGTTTATATCGAATTTGACAACAACAACAAAAACGGCTCCTCTTGTTAGTTTGGATACCGACCCCTGGGCTTAGCACCACGCTCAGCCACATGTGTCTCCCCCGTGCCGATGTTTAGACACTGCACCAGGGTATACTCACTTAAGGCCGAGTTGATGAAGGGGTGAAGATATAGAACAGGTTCGGATACCATGAAATGTTAGCCATGGCTGGGAATCAAACTTAGGTGACCGGTTTTGTAGCCACTGCGCCGTTGCTTCCAACAAAGACAAAGCTCCCCTGTGTAACCTTAACAGATTGTTGGGGCAAGTGCTGTTAGCGAGCACCTGTGAGGGGGTGGGTGGCCAGCAGCACCA